GCGATTGTCATGTTTTTTCCGCTTTTTTCTTTACTATCGAGTTACTCAGAAGCCTTGCAGTCTATATGCAAACCTCCTAATCACTATCTGTGATGGCGAATGATTCCGGGCTTTGCCTTTAATGGCACTCGGGCATCCCTAGCCTCCAGACTTTTTTTTCACACGCTCTGAAGTGGGGAAAGTATCACATTTCTGCATCTGCCACCAGGTTCTAACCTGGCAAGGAATGACTTCTCGCTGTGGTGTCCGAAACTATGCGCCCTGCTTTCTGCAGAGCCCATCCGTCGCCAAGCTCGTCGACAAAACCATATTTGTGACATCTTTATCCCTTCATGCGCAGTCTAAATTTCGCTGACAAAGGTGAGAGCACATGGATATTCTTACATCTGAACTCACGTGCTATCTTAGCGCGCATCATGTGTTCTACAAGACTTCGATCTTATGTCCAAAGTTTGACTAAAACACAGCTGTGAAAACCCAATAAACACGATTCAGAACAATGACGTAACCAAGATAAGATTGATAAGCTATCCACGTGAAACTTATGATAGGGAGGTTCATATCGCAATGATGCAGTCGCCGGAATCAGCATATCCTGATTTTCATTTGCTGTCATACCTAACATCTTCGGATTTCGTGAAAGACTTTGCTGAGGTTGTTCTTCTAATCAAGGTTAGTTCACATCTGTTTCATAGAATGCCTATGTTTTTTGCTCTCAGTGTGTCGGATAGCTTAAAGAGGCACGATCACCGTCACCACTTGTCTCTGCAACGTGTTCCAGTCGGCCAATCAGTGGGGTCTGTGCTTAATGGCTTGCTCGTTCAGGCCTCATTCATACTTTGAGTCTCTGCAGAAAAGGATATACGATGAAAGATCGGTATCTGAAACATGTTCAAGATACATTTGGACTTGACTCTTCTCAGATGTAACGTCAGGAGCCTCTTCCAAGTTGCGACGAAATGGAATATACGTTGCAATCGCGCTGACGAACACAGTATCCTCGCCAAAACTCAGCAAGCTCAACAAGGCGCTGCGCGTTGGCTCAGTGTACCAAGTCAACCCGTACTGTGATGTGGCATTGGGAGGTAACGCTCCACACAATAGATTCAGCGAAGCGCACTGATCGCAGCGCACTTGGATGCAGTTTATATTCACTTTTCCCTCACTACTCCATAAAGAATGATGGATTGAGTCTTTGCCGTTAGTCACTCCATTGTAAGATGAGGTACACATTCCACTACCACGGAGAATCGTGGTGGCCAGTTGAGTACGACCAGTGTGACCTATGCAATGACTTGCACAGGTCCGCCGAGCTAAAAGCAAGTGTTCTTATCCTCCCATGGAGAATTCGATGTCGAAGAGTAAAAGGCTCGGTTGGCCTGAGCGGGAGCCGATACCGGACCGCGTGGTAAGCGTACCACTTGACGCACCACTACGCTTCACCTACTATCCTGTGCTACCCCACCTCTCCTAGGTCGAAATCTTATCAGTAACGCTGATGATTCTTCACTTATTGTAGACTGCGTGGTACCTCACGACTTCGACGTAACTGACGTAACCGACGTAATCGGCGACAGTAGTTTGGATACTCATCATCTGACGTCGAAAACTTCTTTTACGTCCATTCTGCCACTTACGACAGTTATGTCGGGTATAGCGACTACGTCAGATTGATACGTATCTAGTCCTCTGTCGCTGATTACGTCGGTTACGTCGGCGTCAGCGGACCTTAGGCAGTGTCGACGAGCTCAGTACGTGTCAAGCGCACTGTCAATATTTATTCCGAATCTCCTATTCACAAGTTAGGCGGAGTCAAGCGAATAGTATGCAAACCTTGCGAAATCTCGAACCATTTATACTTTCCTCATTATTGCGCACTTTTTCTATCAGCTTATTTCCTGAGTCTCCATAGCCACAAAATAAACGCTGTCTCAGAGCTTCATGAAGAAGTGTTGCCACTAGGTGACCGGTTGCATTGTTTTCAATTGATAGTTCATGATACTCATCTACAGTTGTACCTCAGAGTAATGTGACATCAAGGCTGCGTCATTAGGCACCCCAAAAATGGTGTCCCTTTTCTAACAGACGTGAGTGCACATGGCATGCCGGTTCCTTGAGTGTTCCCCCATTACCGGTCAACACCCTTGCCATTTCCGTGTTTCGAGTGAAAACAGAGTATACGACTAAGCGGTGATCGGGAGTCCTTCTTTGGACCAGGGGACCGCTGCATAGCGGCAGATCTCTATCATCTGAGTACTCTCTCTCTCTCGCTAGCCCATTGTCTGCTTTTCTCTTCCGCGCTCAGCGCCTCTTTGCCGCATGTTCTTATAACGTTTAGGTTGTCTTACATCGAGCGCTTTCAATAGTTCCTTTGCTTTTTCCTTGCTGCTGAAATGCTTCGCATGTCAAAATATGCATTTGAACATCACTGACTGCGAGGTCCGCCTTCAAAGCACGCTAGTAATCCACTAAGTGATGAAGAAAAAGGCAGCAAAATTCATCCAAAGTACCCAACATAAGGGCTACTGCCGGACTGACGTGCAAAAGGCCAGGAAAGGGTGTAGTCGGAAACGTTCATACTTGCTGTTATCAGCTCTTTCCACTGTCATCTTACTCTCACCATTTGAAGTAGAGATAAGTAGCGGACAGCCGCACCACTAGCAACCCCTTAGAAATGGAAGTTGGATGTTGAATTGGGCAGTGGCTTCGTCGCGGGAGGGTCGCGCTTCCCGCGTGTATTTCAAGCTGCGAAAGCGGCAGCGATAAAACGAAAATCAGCAGCGTCGGTTACAGACTTTATGAATAGTGCATGGTCTTTCTACATGTTCGCTATATACAGGGCGGCCAAAAAATTCGCCCGAGGCACATATCAGTACAGGAGACGCAGCCCAGAGAGAAGATGGGGATACGAGTACCCGAGGTCCTCGATAAAGAAGCAGGCTCTCGTCCATCACCTTCATGTACACCCAAATATGACCACCATTTGTAATCGCAGCCGAACTGAAGAAGGTCTACGTAAACGTTACCTCCAAACAGCTGAGCGATTTCTTGTATCGAGTCACCCATGGATAGCTACCTGGAGACCGGCACTCTTGATCTGGAAGACCTCCAACATCGAGCAGCTCCGACAACGTCGCTACGGTCCAGGATATCATCTTCTATGCAGTCGCCAAGGCGCGGGTTGATGGTATGGACCGGAAGTTCCTGGAATGGGAAGACCGATATTTTCTTCGTGGACCTCCGGACTGAAAGTGAACGCTGACTGTTACATCGAACAGCTCGAGGAGAATATCCTGCCTTTATGTCGTCGCCTGTACCATCGTGAAAACTTCGTACTCTACAGAATTGGTTGTCAGCACATGGAACCGGAGCCTACTTGGAAGCGAAGTTTATTTATTTATTTGTGGACGCAGTGTCTCTGCGCTTAATAATTAGACAATCAACAAGAATGCAAAATACATCATACGAAGCACATCAAATGAAGTCAAAGCAATCCGGTTGAATTCAAAACAATCACCCGTCCGATGCAAGAACTCAGAAGACCTCTGAAATAACTGCCTGTTACACGAAAGTCCAGTGGACATCCGTTGCTCCTACTGTTAAGATCTAGGAAGGCCATTTTGAAAGCCAAACAAAGTTTGTTGAGTACCTGAAGAAGACGGAATATCCAAGTGTGCCACCTGATCAAAACCTGCCTCGATCACCGAGATCTCTGGATGGCGTTCGTCTAGAAGGCTGTGGCGCAGTTTCGTGATATGCTGTGTTGCTGGATTTGATGGTGGAAATGTCCTGTCAGAAGTTAATAAAGTGTAACTTATTTCGTCTTAAAAGTTGAGGAAAAAAGTGTTTTTCGGGTACCCTATACAATTACTATACACTATAAATATGGTTACATGTTGTTACCAGAAATCGATTGCCGAGAGCTTGAGAAGAATGTACTACACACGATATGAGCGTCGATTGTCAGCCGCTCAGAAGAAGGAAAGACCTGGTAGGTATTAGCAGGAGTAGCACCCATTTTCTCCGAAATGATTGCATTTTCTCTTATCACAACCTTCAGAGCTGCGCGCATCCGGTTGGTATCGACTGAATTTGGCCAAGACGTTTGATTTGCCACCACTCAAAGACGGGATAACAAGAGTAGATGGCAGCACACTGTCAGTTGAAGAATTCCGTGAAAAATACGAGATACCTCGTAAACCGTGCATAATCACTGGCCTCACAGACACATGGACTGCTCATGAGAATTGGAAGATTGATGTGAGCACTATGAATACTTGCCACCCCCACCATACCCCTCTACTGACTTTTCTTTTCAGAAACTTATTGAACTTTATGGTGACTCTTCGTTTAAATGCGGTGAAACTCTCGATGAGAAGCCAGTTTTCTTAAAATTCAAATATTATGGAGAGTACATGAAGAAAACTAGAGACGATAGCCCTCTATATATATTTGACGGAACCTTTGGAGAGGTTTGTGGCTTTTCCTTCCTATATTAAGAGGTTATGTAGTGACAATTAACACGCTTACGACTCGCGCGGTCTGAGGATCGAGTCGCGGGCTGGCCTCCTTTGATCAATCAAGCCCGCATCCCGTGAACGGTGAATTGAAGCCAGATTTGCCTAGGAGGATGGGAATACTGGCTAGCCCGCAAGTCATGGGACATTTCGCACTTCCGCAGCTTCACTAGTTCCGGTTTGCAGGTCTTCTCTGGTGGAATCTTAGAACACGCAGGTGGGGCAAGCTCGTCCGCCACCATGATAAAACCTGTCATATCTTGTGAGACTCTCTTGATGGCTAGTTACGTCGATGGGAAGAGGCAAAGGTGCAAAGTACCCCCCCCCCGTCGCCGAACGGGTCGCTCCATTCCTCCGTTACACATGATAAAAATCTTGTCAGACTTGGCCCTGCTGGAGTCTTCCTGTCTAAAAGTATGCCTGGACCAGTGACAGATACCATTAGTGGTAGTCGACTCCACTCTGAAGTGCAACTGGATTAGGCGCAAAATGATCCGAGCTGGTCATCTATATTTCCGAATTACAATGCATATTAATGCGAAATGTATGCGCGCTTGTCAATTAAGCGACGATCTAACAAAACGTATGCGAACGACTAAATAGGTGCCCCATTATTTCCGATTCGCAACCTAATTTCGATGTTCTTTGGTCACATAAAAAAGAGAAGCCTCCATTCAGGTGAGAAGGAGCGTCTTGCGTTTATCACAGCTGTAAATGGTTTAATAACTACCAGTCGGCTCGCCGGCTAACGCCCGCGCGCCTCCTTCTGATACGGCCCGGCTGCGCCGGGCATATTCTTTCACATATTTCAGACTCAACTGATTATCCGCCTTGTTGAATTCTGGTAACCGCACTTTTTTCCGGTGTCTGAACGTTACTCGTTGAGTTCATTTCACCGGATTCTTCGTCCGACTCCGCCCACCTCGAGCAGGCTCCGCCCACAATGTTTTTGCCCCACAGTCCTCACCGCGACCCTCTGCTGACCTTAATCCACTTTTTTTTTCCGGTGTGTGATGTGTTCTGGAACCGTTCTAGAGAAATTTTTGTCCGGCTCCGCCCACCTCGAGGCAGACTCCGCCCCCAATTTTTGTGCCCCACATTCTTCACCGACGACCCTCTGCTGAACTTAATCCACTTTTTCCGGTGTCTGGAGTGTTCTGGAACCGTTTCATTCGCCGATATTGTACATTGCTACACTGATGTTTTTTGCCGACTCTCCAAACACTCTCGCCAAGCTCGGGTTACTGAATTTCCGAAAAGTACCCGCCCACCTTAAGTACGTCACCCGCCCATTAGGAAGGAAGTGCTGGTAAGGAATGGACTCTGGCTGAATGTGAAGACTACTAAGTTCCTGGCTCCAAAGAATGCTCTGAGCCCATTGCAAACATCCCTGAGGAAACCATGGAAAGAGCGGAGGAATCCTGAGACTTGGGAAGCGATTAGCCTTCTAAAGTAGCGTGAGCCAACCCCGAACATACGTGGGATTGATGAAAGAGGTGGAGTGCACGTGTATCCTTAGGCGTCAGCCCGTGCTTCAGTGGGGCTAAATAACAGCAGATATGAATAGGTAATTAACCGCAATATTTAGTGCAGCGATCGCGCTGGTACCGCGTGCAATATAAACGAGTGAGGCGGGCCTAGTTATCACAGATGCTTCAGATCTACAGAACTGGTGCTAGTGGAATGAATCGACTGAGCAGAACCATAAAAGAGGAAGGACGGAAAATTCATGCCAGACATCCTATCTAAGCCAACAGAAAGCACGGAAAACAGACATTTGCGGTGGCTCGGCCCCAGTTGCCGAGAGGCTGGAATAGTAACCGCTCCGAAAAAAGCACTGGAATCAAGAAGCTCACGTGAAACTGTCCTGAGGAGCTTAAAGGCAGCGTCCGCGATCAACCAAAGTGAAAAAACCCTCCATTGAAAACGAACGCGGAGTTCGCAATCACAGCAGAAATCCCACTCTTGCGGCTCGAAATCGATTGGTTGACGAGGGCGGAGTCAACAGAGCCGGGCTGACGCCTCCTGTCCTGTTAATCCCGCCCCGACTGGTTGACAGTTATCAATGCTTGCTGGCATTGATATACGCTGAATTTCTAGGGTTCCTGAGCGACGTACGTGTATTGGAGAACTCACCAGAAGTTTGCGAAACTCGTCCACATGCCTTAAATTTCATAGGGTCTTATTTCACGCTCTTCACACCTTTTTCCTGCTTTTTTTTGATTAGTCTTCATTGGCCACCTGTTCTAGCAAATGTGACCCCTGAAACCTGCCAAAGTCCATCGCGGGCGCTGTCTTTCAACGGAAAGATCAGTGTAAAAGGGACCTCACAATAGCTGAGGCTATTGCTGGACTGTGAGAGAAGAAACAAGCGCGTCTAACGAGAAAAACGGAATCTGCGTTGATGCAAGGTTTAACGCTAGAGAGGAAGAGGAGAAGATGGTAAATCTATGTTTACAATAGGGCGCCTTCCATGTCATGCGCAGTCTTGTCGCAGAAAACCCAAAGAAGAGGTTTCCATGAAAGTCTAAATCTGACGAGGGTGACGAGACTTTTGTGAACGGCACACTGGCTTTTTTTTCTTACATCAGCTTGGATTCGAAGACGGGAACTCAGTGAATAAAGTAGAATGATAGAAGATGACTGACAGCCTGTCTGACTTACTGGAATTCAAAATCTTACTGAACTACAGTCCCTAATCCATGCGGACACGGCTGTGCGTGGCAGTGCGGCTGTCATTTGTTGCGGGTTTGGCAAAACGTTCTGCATTAGTGTTTTGAAGGCGGCGCAAGGCATTTCTGTAATACAGTCCTTACGTATTCACTGCGTTTTGCTACCGACTTTTGTCGCATAACGCTTGCCACGGCAATAAATGCTGAGAACGGCTTCAACAGTGTGCGCACTCATCCGCGGCACCCCACCGGGTCCCGCAAATGATGATGGACTGTAATATCTCTGTATCAAAAAATGTGATTTCACTCAACGATCCTCATACCACACCAAAATAGTGTGTTAATTAAGGCAAAAAATTCAATCTTTGCTTTGGCTCAACCCTGATTACCGTGACTGTGGCAATCCTTTCGCTGACTAGTGGCAATAAGAAGAATCGCGGTTGTAAGGCGAGGGGTGGTCCACTGGCCCGTTCGGACCGGGTCCCTAGTAGCTCGCAGTCAAGCCTATCCCTCGAAAGGGATATTTGCGATGACTGCCGCCATCGCAAGCTTATCAGCAATGCCTAATAGGGGATTTGTTGTCAAGAAACTTCCCGAAACTCATAATTCCGATTTGTGAGGGCAGCTTCCGTCTATTTGGTCATGCGCGATTAGTCACGCGGGATGTCGCTTTGTGCAAAATCATGTGACATTATCACTTGTGCTTCTCGGTCAATTCAACGTTCTGAACCTCGTATCATGTCCTGGCTCCGAGGCCAGTCCATTGTTCATCTGCTATGCGACTGTCTCCGCAATTGCAGGGCGTTTTGCTCAAAGCTGCACGGGATAGGGCTGTAGGTAGTGTGGGCCGCCAGCGCCGTCTCCAATACTCCCGCCCGCGCCACGCTGTCAGGAGGCAGCAACTTGCGGTCTGATACCAAGAGTCCCCGCAGAGAAACAGGCACTTACCATTAGCGGAAATAGAACAACACTGAAGTGAGACACATCGGCTGTCGAAGCATGTTAAGCAGCGCCGCAGCTCGCGCAAAGTCTGTAACGAACGACACCCGATACACAGTCCCATCCCCCCAGTCGCGCTTGCCGTGCATTTGACAAGAGAAAGTGCACCGGCACTTGACTGCAGTTGCGGGCCCATTTCTCCCAAGAGCAGAAACCCATTCTCCAAGAGCAGGACAAGGACCAGGATCCATGGGGTGAATGAACGGCTTTCAAAGCACCATGGCACGATATTTGGTTGGGCGGAGTTTCCGCCTACTTCAGTGGCACATCTCTTCTCTCCAGTTGATCTGAGAAGGGACCTGAGTAAAGCAGAAGAGCCCAATTCTCTACCACGAAATGCTCCTTTGGAATCGACGCTTACAACTTCCAGGTGGATCGTTATTGGACCAGCTCGCTTAGGGACCAACATCTATATCGACCCACTGGAACAAGTCGTGGAATGCTCTGATTCATGGTCATAAAAGGTATGCTAGGTGTACTTTTCTGTGAAAAATGGAATAATGTTTTGCTATCTGTTTTTGATTCTTTCGGTGAGCGTCTCAGCATCTGGTTGTGACTCAGCTGTTTTAGATGGGTTCTCATTCACCCGGATGCGCCAGGAGATCTCGTGAGAATTCCGAAGGATCAACGGGGGATTCATCCCAAGGAGGCTGTCACATGGTTTTCTACAGTATACAAGCGTATATGTGAAGGAGACTGGCCTTTTGAGAAGTATCCCGTCATAGAATGCCGACAAGGTCCTGGCGAAACAATATTTGTACCATGCGGTAAGCAACAGCTAAAATAGAGAATGACAAGTTTCTTTAACGGTAAACGCATGAACGCTGGATGATCCTTCCCGCTTGCACCGCTGATGGAGGCAACCTCCGACTGATGAAGATTGTTGTATGCAACCGTAATTATTGTTCCCTCTAACACGTTGAAATGGCTGCTCACATTCGTCGCTTTATCCTGTATGTCCCCGAAAAGACGCTTCTTTAAGTACTGACCTTTTTTTAAAGGCAGTCGGCACGATAAATCCCTAAGACGAGTAGGATTAATGCGCCTGGCAGGAGAATTCCGCACCCCTGGGCAGGCGCTGCGTAGCGCCTTTTCCAAGGAAGGTACCCTTATAAGGCCCTATCAAGCTGCAACATACCGACCCGGACGCCCACCGCGCCCGCCCGCCCACAAATGGACGACCGTACCTGATGCTCGTATTGCTTCATTTGAGAAGGAACTGACATGAAACTGCTGCCGTGATGGATATATGAATACATACGTGCAAACTTAAAGAACCATCCTAAATCCCGCCGTAGGAAATTACAATCGGCAAGATGCTACGGGATAATCGTCGCGAAATCACTTTTTGAGGCCTTTAAGAAAGTAGGGCTTCGGCAGGTTTTTTGGACTATTTCACTTCGCTTTTCGCCATTCACGTCGTACGTGTTCTCATCCACTACATGGCACGGGGCGCTACACCACTGTTTGGGAGCCGAGTACTAATTTATGGCAAAAGGTTTGCGAGTAAAAAAGTAGGATAAAGCGGAATCTTCCGGTATTGGGTCCATGCCGTTTGGGGAGAGAATTAAGTTTGCAGCTGGGCAGTGACCTGTCACTCTCTCCGGTCACGGGAACGGCGGGATGGGGGAGTGAACCCTTAGGTGTCAACCGCCGGTACCCGCCTCGCGTTTCGACGGATGCCGCCCGCTAACCTGGATGCCACGCGGAACATCCAATAAGCTGGACCTCTTCATCGAACGCGTCGCTCCTCCCACGACTACTTCAGCTGCTACTAAGGATTCTGCTGCAAGAGATGGAAGACTTATTTGATGTGCTGGTGCAATATGAATGTTAACGGTCGTATGATATGCTGCGACCGTTACTAATAAGTCTTGTTGGCTGCTTGATGAGGCAGTGTCGAATGAGGGTTGGGTTTAGGCAGTAGCCTTGAAAACGGATAAGCGACAATAGTTGGTGGGAAACAAACTTATAGCGATCATACTGATACAGTCTATTTTGGCCTGTCGGAACCTAGCGTAGGATGTCTGCTCATTCCATGCCAAACAGCGAGTGCAATCGCTTTGCTGAGGTGAATGCACGCTAATTCTGCTCCCAGTGCATGGTTTTCATGTAAGTTTTCAAATGATGTTAGTATATTCCACCGTGTGAAAATGGCGTTGCTTACTTAACTGCTTGAGAGTCACTTTTTTCAACAGGCGTGTGCATGCTGCGTTATCCAATGAGCGAAAGAACATAGAGCAGTCACACAGAACTTTTGCTCACCTGCCAATTTCATGTACGTGTATCCTACAGTGCTGAAGCAGAAGCCATGTATCGCTCAATTATTTCACGAAAGGTATAGTTTATAGTGTTGTTACAGTTGGTGTATCGACATACATCCGAACTCATTTTTTGGCGGTTAGGTGTAATCCTGGATTCTGACTCCATGTAGCTCAGTCTCAGATGGTGTCCTGATCAGGCTGTTTAGATCGTAGAAGTGAAACATTCTTAATCTCCAGGGGACTAGCCAGGCGGGTTTTGGGTGTCATTGAAGCCCGTGAATTGGACGGACTTAGGAGAGAGAGGGTGTTGAGGTCCAGGAAAAAATCACTCTCATGCACATTTCTGAAGATAAATCTCTCTCAGTCGCTGTGGGCAGTGTCTAGACGATGGGATACGTCTCAGGAGGGATGGTTTAGGCACTGACGACAAACCCGTTTTCCCACTAGCTGTAGAAACGATGGAAAGCGAAGATCATTCCTATCGCATGTGAATCGTCGTTTCTAGCGAGCGCGTCGCTTACTCTCTCAACTGGTGGAGAAGCGACTCGACTGAGGCCGAATCCCGTCTCCCCATCCGGTCATCAGCAGCAGACAGGGACCGTGATTCTTTTTCCAGGTTGATTCAGCCAATACGCGGTCTGATTTCGCTTGAGCAAAGTCAGAAGGTTATTGTTGGATCCGAAAACGCGATCAATTGATACGTAGCGGAATGTTTAGCATCCGGCAGGTGGTACATGTGGAAGTGGATTAGTGAAGACCTGACGTCGGCGATGAAGGAGAAAGAGAAGTATAGAGAGCGCGGTCTGGGGTTGATCATTAAGTGGTTGAGCATGTGGACAGGAAAGAGAGGTCATATTTATCACTTTGTGATTGGAGAAGAACAGGGTAAAGCATAGTGTCGTGTAGCAGAACAATAATGTTAGCGTTATATACTGCGAAGATATCTGATATCAGGGTGGAGTGGGTGCTTGAGGCGGAATGAGACTAGTACCAGAAAATCAGTTCAGAGAAAGATCTGAGAAAAAGGGCATGTGTCTTTCGCAAAAGGAGAGCTTTGAAGCGAATTCGAATGATGAACCGCCCTTATTGTAGTGAGAGGGGAGGAGCAAGGAGAGGTGGCAATGAATGAGGAAGAGAGGGTGGGCTGTGGTTATGGGATCGTGTGGAAAACTGGAAATTGATGGTGGGGGGCAGAGGTTGGGGAGGAGGTGGGTATGATGAGAGCGACGGAGGACGGGAGGCTGGGAGTATGCGCGCGGAGGGATGAGCAAGTAGAGATGGAAGCGTGAATATAGGTAGGGCTGAGAGGGGGGCTGGGGGAGGAGTGTATCCGCATTGCCATCTCCTCCAAAACAGTGGTTGCGTTCCCAGTGGCAATAATGGTCGGTGCAAAATGGGAACCGAACGCCGATGGGACAGATCACTGCTTTTTACTCAAGCAATCTTTTCATATTTACTCTACTTCCTGTGTCCAAAGAGACTCTCGGTCGGTCTGGTTGGAAGCTGATTTGGGATTCGGTCGCCTGGATGGAAGGTGACCTGAGATTTGACCTTCGGACCTATCAGAAATAATATACCATTTCTGAAACATTCGTGCAATAATAATCCTGTAATTTGGAAAGGGTATGCTAGCACTCGCTGTAAAATTCAAGCACCTTGTCGAATATTCGCATAAGGGTTTCTTTTGGCAAAAAACTCCTTGAATCTTAGTGAGCACGGTGAAGTCGAAGTATTCGAAGATGAGGATTATGGGTGCGAGACGGCCGATGAAATAGGGGAGTTCGAAAAGACTGAGGAAGTTGCAGTGAATGCAACAGGAGGCGAAGTGGAGTCCATCACGTCAACAGATCTAGAGGAAACTGAGGGTGACATTCTTTCAAGTGATACTGATGATGAAGCAGAAGAGTCCTCAGAAGATGACGACGATTCTAATGAAGAAAATGAGGAAGGTGATGAATTTGAAGAAGTAGAAGAAGATGAGGATGTAATTCAAACGATGCCAATGAGGTTTGTTATACTGCTACCACCTCCGTATTAGTCTATGAATCCGAACTACTTTCTTCGATCCAGCTTCACGATATGAAACAAAACTACTAGCCTTTTCAGTGGTCTCAATGGAGTAAAGCGCCGTGCCCAAGAAGAAGCTCAGGGAAGATGATTTCTAGATGCCACAAACTCTTATCCTTCTTCTTTTCTCCCCAACTACTTTTCTTTGTGTTTCCGAGCTCATCTACTGTAATTGTTTTTCAACTACGATCGACATTTATATCGATTTCCACGATAGCATCAGCGTTTCCTTGTTTTGATGTCTATGTAATAAAGTTTAAGAAGACAACAGCTCACAGACAAATGAACTATCGCCGAGGGGCATTTTGACTCCATACAGCGGACGGCAACACTGGTGAGCTTTTATTGTTTTATGAGCTCCTTGACAAGAAAAGAAAACCGATGAGGCTCCGGGACAGCACAATTTTAAGAAAAAAAAACGCTTGCCTACAAATTTTGCCGCCGAGGGTCTGCGCAAGGTGTGCTACCACCGTTTTTGGCGAATCTCGCCGTTTGAAAGGAAAAGTGGTTTCCTTCCAAAGGGTCGAAAGGAAATGGTTCACTGAATGATACACTAAATCGAATGCTAGAAGCCAATGTAAAGCGCGTCCCTAGACTGCTACGAGCCGCATAGTAGCGGTTTCTAGGCTGAAACGGCAAGCGGGAACCTCAGATCAACAGCGACGTCTTCTTGGCTTGTTTGTAGCTGTAACTGAGGTGGGAGCAACATGTGAGATGAACAAAATCATCTTCCATCAGGACAAGGCGCCTTCATATCACTAACGGCATGTCATCGAATCCTTTTCTTATGGAGACTGGAAACTAGCTCTTCTTCCGCTATTTTACCACGTCAACCATTAGTTTGAAAACTGGCATAGAAATGACGTCGGTTCTCTGAACATGCTTTACTCGCCAGCTTCACTCTAAATGCGCTCCACATCCTGGAGACAGGGAAGCCATGACTGCGCCCTTACCGGGCGATACCTTTTTTGTGAGCCGTTTCCATTCGAAGCATTGCCAGTGGCAACTGTCCTACTTGCGCTGAATAAAGGCACTATTCTAATTGTTCCAAAATGACCAAAAAAGTGTAGCCTCCTCCAAATTCATGATAATGCCGCGCCCTCCCCACCTCTGGGATATGTACTGCACAAGCAGCCCTGCAAACGCTAGGGTGTGTGAAGGGATGTGGGCAGGAGCACTACTAAGGCGGCCTTTCCAGCAATGATGATATTTGGAGTTCGCAACCATAGGCTGGAGGGGCTGATCTGGTTGCAATCCAATCACGCCCCGTCACACCCCCTATTGTTTGCAAGGATCATGACAGCAAGTTCTTTGGATCCGCCATTTTTTTCACAGTAGTAGGGAATTTACTGAGAAACGCTTACACAGTATTATGGGTGCAGTTATGTACAAATCAATCGGTACGTAATGAGTTCGCCAAAACCAAGCTCTCTCGAAGGTGTGAACTTTCCCGTTGTTCCCGCGGTAGTGTTTGCACAGAACTCCGTCGATAGGAACGTAACGTGCGTAAAGAACCGCGAACGTCTGCAGAATTGCTTCTCGTATAGACACTTAATCGTTGACCCAAACTGCTCTGCGACAACTGAAAAACAGAGATCTTGTGAGAATATGAAGTTGAAATAAATGGCTTGACCGCTGTGACGTTCAACTGGTGATTCTCTATGTATGCGAAGAGGAAGGATTGAGACATTGAAAGAGCACTACTGGTTACAGGACTGAGAATCATTACTCCCTCTTAAAGGCAGCTGGCACGATAATTCGGTACTCGGCCTAAAATGCTAGCAGAGTGCTATATATAGTAGGAAAATGGCGAAAAAACGAAGTGAAACGGTCGAAAACTGCGAAGGAAAGCCTTCGTTCTTAAAAAGCAATTTCGGACGAGTTTCCCGTAGGCATATTGTCAATAACCGCTACGGTAGGTACGGTGCATGTATGTACTCATATATCCATGCAGCACCGCAGCCGCTTCATACCAATGCCTTCGCTTCATATTTTACTTAGCAAATGAAGCAATACGAGCATCAGGTACGGTCGTCCATTTGTGGGCGGGCGGGCGTGGTGGGCGTTCGGGTCGGTATGTTGTAGCTTGATAGGGCCTTATAAGGGTACCTTCCTTGGAAAAGGCGCTACGCAGCGCCTGCTCAGGGTCGCGGAATTCCGTCCTGCCAGGCGTATTAATCCTACTCGTCTTTAGGGATTTATCGTGCCAATGCCTTTAAAGGCAGTTGGCACGATAAACCCTATACAGAGTAGGATTAATACGCCTGGCAGGACGGAATTCCGCGACCCTGAGCAGGCGCTGCATAGCGGCTTCTCCAAGGAAGGTGCCCTTATAAGGGCCCTATCAAGCCACAACATTACGTCCCAAACGCCCGCCACGCCCGCCCGCCCACAAATGGACGACCGTTCCTGACGTATTCATTCATTTGCTAAGCAAATTATGAAGCGAAGGGATTGGTATGAAGCGGCCGTGATGCTGCATGCATATATGGGTACACATATGCAGCCGTATCTTCGGTAGCGGTGATTGGCAAGATGCGTACGGGAAACTCGTCCGAAATCGATTTTCAA